AGACAGACAGACAGACAGACAGACAGACAGACAGACAGACAGACAGACAGACAGAGAAGAGAAAGGGAGGGGGAGAGGGAGGGGGAGAGGAAGGGGGGAGAGAGACAGCGACAGAGACAGAAGCACAAAGACGAAAAGACCCAGAGGGAGAGAGAGAAAGAGAAAAAGAATGAGAAAGAGGTAGACAGACTGACAGGCAGACAGACAGACAGACGGACAGGCAGAAAGACAGACAGACGGACTGACAGAGAAAGAGAGAGAAGGTGGGGGGAGAGAACGCAAAATAGTGGAGGTAGAGATAACCAATCTGGGAATAAGGACAGAGAGGACACGATGGCAGAAAATATGTCACCAAACTTATGGCCAAGTCAAAGACGAGGACAAATTGACAAGCAGACAGTCGGGAGACCAGGGACAGAGTTCTAGACATAAAGTCCTTGTGTACCTTGACAGAGTGACGAAGAGCCTTTGTGATATAGGCCTATAAGACAGGGAGTCAGTAGTTACCGTGAAACGGTTGAGAGTTTTTTTTTTCAAGATAACTCCGCCCCGTGCAAACATTTGGCTTGCTGCGATCGACGATATGTCAGAACAGTCTTTAGATCTCATCTGCTCTCTTCACAATAATTTTCTCCGGCCTGTCCTTTACATCCGGGGGATTTAGTTTCTTTTTTTCTTGTTGGGTAACGATGATTTTCTTTCTTTCCTTTTTTTCCAAGCTTCTTGAAAAGTCTGTAGTTGATCCAAATGACTAAAGCTGCAGCTGATTAAGAGGAAATAATATATGTCTTACGGGTTTTTTTCCCTGCTTTGTTCCACGGTATATTTATGGTCCGGCGACTTTATTTTCTCGTTGCATTTAATTTATTGTTTGCTGCAATGTTTTCAGAATGAGTTTCCTGCTTTGGATCTTTCCTCTTGTTTTCCTGAAGCTGTCCACATAGTTTATGGTCTCTGTACCTTGGAGGCGTGAGATAGCTGCTAACAGCACACAAGAAACGCCCAAGACCATGAAAACTAGAAAAGCCGAACGGATTGCGAGACGACGAAACAGGTTCCTAAAGTACCTCGCAACTTTCATTTTGCATAATATCTGGAGACCTTAAATTTGAAATATTCCGTTCTTTGGACCTTGGGGTGCTTTGCTTTCTCCAAACTGCGATACTAAATTAAATATAAGCTTTGTAGGGTATGCGTTTGACGCACACCTTAACAACGTAAAATTAGTCATGACCATAAAATGTTATTCTAATGATCATATCCTAGACTGTGCACTTTGACATAGTCCCGGTTTCACTATAAAGATAAAGCGCATCATTTTGCTTCGGTTGAAGCCAATTAAAGGGGAAAAAGGGGGTAGACGCGGAGAGAGAGGGGGGAAGGGGTGAAGAACGGATTCTACAATAGGCGGGTTTATTTCCCGTTGTTTGGGCTGCAAAGGAGAGCATACTTCGCAACAAAGTTTTTATGAAGTGCAAAGTGCAAAGGGAGGCGGCCATGACAGTGCATGATCTGGGGTATAGTTCAAATCTATGGTCGGGATGTGCATACCTTCTCAGTTTCAGTTTCATATTTCCAAGGACCAAATGGTGGTCTGATGCGACGTCTGCTCCTCGTAAGACTCGGACGTCCTCCAGTGAGCGTCTAAATTTTCGGGAGATGCAAACATGATCAATCTGGTTTTCCGTCGTCCCATCTGGGGAGGCCCGAGTAGCCTTATGAATCTTTTTATGTGGGAAGATCGTTCCTCCCATAACCAAGTTGTGAATGCACAGAAGCTCTGGAATCTTTCTCCGTTGTCATTTGCCTCTCCTAATCCGTGTCTGCCCATGATTTCCCCACAGTGGCTATTGTCCGGACCTAACTTTGCATGTAGATCTCCCATGACAATGTTGATGTCCTTACCTGGAAGTTTGTCGATCCCACTTTGCAGGCGGTTGTAAAAGGCATCTTTATTGTCCTCTTCTGCATCATTAGTTGGGGTATACACTTTTGTGATGTTCATGTTTATGACCTTCTTCCTACCATCTCTTCCCTTGAGTTCTTTCTTAGTTCCAAATGCGGCCATGGTGATCCTTGGGCCGTGCGCTTCCCAGCCCCTGAATGTCTTTTGAGCTGTTTGGGATGTATCATCCATTTAACACTTGTCTCGAGGATCCGAGTCGAGAGAGAGACAAGCCATGAAAGCTTGTATAAACTCAGGCTGGAGAATATCCCAGTCAGGGTCACTCAATAGGGCCAGTGTGATACAATGCAAAACGAGTCAACAGCAAGGCTTAATGTGTAGCAAAGCGTACTTTAGTTTTAACTTTAATACTCGTACAATTACATCCGAACCTGTCCGAAATGACCACTCATTGTCGAGGAGAAATGTTGCGATCTCAGACAGATGGTCCATGACTGGTTGACGGTGCTCAGGTAAGGTTTATTGCTTCTTTCCTATCCAACATCTGTCGTCCGTTTCTCCCCTCTTTCTTGTTTTGTGTTTGGTACTCTCATCTAACACCTCTAGTCTTCGGTACTTAAATGACCTATTAATTGTGCTGGCACTATCTTCGAGGGGGGTAAACCCACCTACGCCGGGGCCTTTTTTTATGTGCTAAGTCTAAAAATGACAAAACCGTCTTTAAATGGGTCATTAAATCGAAACTGACAAACCTATTTTGATATTTCTTCATCTTGTGAATGAATGAACTTCGGTATAAGTGACCTGTTTTCAGCAATTGCCGAAAAGTCATTTGATGACGAAGTCGTCGTAAAAGAATGTGCCCGAGCGGTTCACCGTCACAGGAATTCCAACAGCGAGCCGCTGGGGGCGGCTTTCCAGATATAAAGAGTTGCGGGGTAAGTGGGAAATGGTCATTTATTTGCGCTACTGATTGTCTTAGGTTGTTGGTCGTTTGACCAGGTTGGAGTTTCAGTTGTACAAAGCAAGGAATGTCTTCATCCAGGACGCATAAAAAGCCCTTTGTGTCAGAATATACAAAAAGAAAAAGAAAACGCTACACAAAGGAGAAATAATCATCTCTGACAGGCAGAACAATGTGTCCGTTTGTTCGTGCACGTCTTTTGTGTGTGTACGTATGGGAGAGTGCATATTGTGTGTGTTTACGTGTTTGTATGTGTGTATGTGTGTGTGTATGAGTGTGTTTGTGAGCACGTGTGTGTGAGTGTGTATGTGTGTGTGCGTGTGTGTGTGTGTGTGTGTGTGTGTGTGTGTGT